CCCCCGCTTTGGCTGCTATCATGAACCGCTGCCAGATTCCCGGTCACCTGCAGTCTCTGCTCCCGATCCCAGAAATCCTCCTCCTCGTGCACATCACTAGGGGGCAGAGTTGAGCTGGTGTGGAGGTGCGCCTGTGACCCCTGGGGTACAACGGGGGTTGCGCACTCCTCCTGCAAAGCCGCACTTGAAGCGGCTCTTGCACCGGCTGCATGCAGAGAGGAATCACCACAAAATGCTTCCAGAAGCAAGCTCTTATTTAGCTTCCTCATAAATGCGCATTATATTTTAGTCCTGGTAATATTAATAGACAGCTTTACATTTGAACCCTTTGTCTCTACTACTCTAATCCACCAAGAGACTGAAGGTTATCGGGCAGGTTCTAAATAAATAAATGTTGTTTTGGGGTCAGGCTGTTCATGCACCCCAACTTGCCCTCAGTGGGACTTCGGAGCGAGGAATTTCCCTGCTCGGACAGGTCCCCTCAGCCCCGTCCCACGCCGCAGGGCTTCTGTATTGCTCGAAGGCTGCCATCCTGTGCAGGGAGACCCCTGAGGAGCTTCAGAGGTGCAACGTGTTCCTGAAAGAACCTGTGGAAGTTCAAATCACACACCCAAAAAGGGATTGTCAGACGGAAGAGAACAAAGGCAGATTCACCTCAGTCAGAGTTGCACCAAAAGCAACAGATTCCACCAAATTCCAAAAATGCCCCCAGCACTGCAGGGCAACCTTTCAGGGATGCAGCAAGGGGTTTTCCTGGTAAGGCAGCAGCTCATCCCTGGAATGTAAACTTCTACCAAATCTGCTGTCGATTCCTTAATCTTCCATCACATTTTCTTTTGCATGGACCTCTCAGGCAACTGACAAATCTATACTATATTATCAAAATAGCCCTATGGTAGGTTCATACTCATGTGCTTTCAGATGCCAGCGGGTGATAGTGCTTCTTTCCATCTTGTGAAAAGCTTCCCCTGATGATGGACCCACAACAAGCTGCTGTTAAAAGCCTAGGCCCTAGGAGAAAGATGGCCGGGCCTGCATTTTCTGATCATTTGGCAACCCTTTTCAGGATGCAAAAGTATTTGAATCTCCTTTTAAAACATAAGAACCTCTTTCAACTTTGTTCAGCATTCAGTAATGATGTATGTGCATTTTAAAACATAAGAGAAGGGGGGCAACCTTTAATTTTTATATAATAAAGACAAGAAAACCTTGTAAATTTCTTCCCATTTCCATCAGTCGTCCTTCCTAAGCAGCACCCTCAACATTAAATTCACCTTGTGCTTTGGGTGAAGGTGCTGAGTGCTCCATTCTCCCTTGGAATGAGCTGGTCATAATTCCTGGAAATGATGCAGTGGGGCTTCATAAAGCCAGCAAGAACTGCAACCCAAGACAGGAAGTGGTCTGGAATTCCTCATCTGGTGGGCACGACTGCACATTGCCTTGATTCACGCTGGCCATGCAATGGGCTGGTTGTGCAGGAAACAACCCACAGGGCCTCCCACAGGGAAGGTGGGGAAGCCAGCGCCAGCCACCCCGAGTGCCCTGAGGGCTTTTCATGGGTGGTGGCGCTCGGGATCCCCTGGGAGGCCCACGTGAGCAGCGAGAGCTTGTCCCCGGGTTCTGATGCTGCGGCAGCTCATTGTGGGTGCAGTGGCCAGAGCAGCCGTGGGTTGTTCCCCACAAATAAGCCACCCTTGCAAAACCAGTCTGCACCTGCATGATGTGGCGCCAGCCCCCCCCCCCCCATGGATCGTGCCCACAATGGGCCCGCCTATCATGCAAACCCAGCCATGGAGCAGATGTGGGGATCGAAAGGGGTTATGCTAAAGCCACTGCAGCCATGAGGTGAATGCAACAGACCTTCTGTCCAGCCATAAAGTCTAGCAAGTTAAAGCGTTTCTCAGCTTGACCAGAGCCTCGCCTGCTCTTGCATTTCTTCCCACCAGGGGCGCAGTTCAGCCCCTTCCTATCTGCAGGGATGTTGAAGGTGTCCCGAAGCTCACCTCAGAATTCCCCGTTTCCTTCACATTATTGTGTCAATTGCTGGGGGAAATGCATTTTTCCAGCGAGCACATATTCTTCTCTGTTGCAATGCAAAGACTTTTGCAGCAGCAATTAAGATGCAAGAGCTTTAGGAAAGACTCCGTCCCCCTGGAGATGAAAACTGCCAGAATGGCTTTGTTGACAGGGAACCAGGCACCAGGCGGGGCAGTGGCGCTTGAGCGCTTGGCCGCTCCTTCGGGGCGTGGCCATGGGGACGGCACTCCGAGCGCCTGAACTTCAAAATACACTCTGCTGGCTCCGAGCGTCCCTTTGGAATACTCTGCTGCAGATCAGGGAGCATGGTGGAAATACACACCCAGGAGCCACGCTCAGCAACGAGCCCAAAGCCCGGTTCCATCTTCATCGCCACTTGAGGCGGTGGCTTGAGCACAGGCTCAAGTGGCCTCAGGAGCGCCTGATCCCGCCACTCCCCTTCCACCACAGCTGGATTCCCGTGGGCGCAGCACTGAACCGAGCTGCCTCGCAACAACTCCAGGAGGCGTTTGGCTGCAGCGAGGCCCCAGCAGTGCAGAGCGAGGCCTGAGCGCTGGCTTGGCCACGGACCGGGCACAACACGCCAGGATGAGTCCTCTGTCCTCCCCTGTGTGTCTGGGTGCCCTGGTGCTGCGGAAGCAGAATGCGGAGAAGTAGAATGGTTCCTTCTTTTTCATGGCTGGGGTGCTGAAGTCCAGGGCAGAAGGGGTCCCAGCGAGCAACCACGGTGGCTCACGAGGACTGG